ACCTTTCAATATATAAAAGCAAGCAAACTTCTGGAGAATTCCACACTTCTCCACATAAAGCAAGAAGGAGCAGAAGCACTGGTTCAATTCAACAACCCACGTCAGCTTTATTAGACTGTTGTGTTTACACGAATTAGCGGTAGCGGTGCAGCTGCAGGGTATTGCGCCTTCTCCAGGCAGCGCGACGTGAGCCGCCAATGGTGTGATGGAATTTGTGGCCCTTGCCAAGACCACGGCTCTTCCTCCCGGCTGACGTCAGCCCACGCATCTCTCTGTGCTTGTGAACGGGTTTGGTGATCCACTGGGTGTCAGGGTTGCGGCGGATGGCCTTGTGGAAGGGGTCGATCAGGATCACCTCAAAAAACTTGTAAGTGGAATCTTCACCCACCCAATAGGAGTTCAAGACTCTCAGAGCCCCACAATGACGGCCAGCACGCTCCTAGAGGAAAAAAATAAATACAAAACGCTGTAAAACCATGGAAGCAAGGGCACTCTTCATGTGAAAGGATGTGAATAACCCAAACCTAATTTTTTTCTAGAGTTTTTGTTTTGCTCAGAGCAAAGCACTCTTCTGAAAAGAACCACGCAGCCTCTGGCAACAAAAACACCTGAAAAAGTAATGCTGACAAAAACACTGTATTCAAAAAAGGCTGCTGGAATTCTTAAGTGAGACAGGTTTTAAAGAATGTAACGATGAATGAATTTGGTTGATCATAAAATAAAGAACCATTCCACATGCAGAAGAGCCCTGAAGATAAACACAGAGTTAAAACTTAAGATCACCAGCCACACTTGGGGCTGTGGAACACTTTTGAAAATTGTGAAAGACCAATCAATCTGAATGTCCAAAGTTATTGAGGAAAAGGTCCAGAGGACAGAAGCCCATATTGATAGGAAAAAAGAGGAACAGTTGATGTAACAAGCCTTCAATATGCTATTCCTATTCTTGGCTGCAGTTGGAAAGAAACAGTCCTTGTTTGGGAAGCAAAGCAGAAAATAAGTTGAGTTACAGAACTCCATCTGCCTCTCCTGTCAAGACCTCCCCTTTTCACTCTAGGACATTATCATCATCACTACAGATCCATCCAACCTCTAACTCAAACCTATTACTACAGATGTCCACCAACCACCATCTTACAACTTCTTGCATATTTCATGCATCTTCTTCAAGTCCTTCCCTTACTCCAGCACGTGGCTGTGACACACACTAAACATTAAAATAACATTCATCCTCAACTAGCTTCTATGTGGGGATGACAGTGACAACCAAGGTTGGCATTTCTTGAACATCTTTATCTGAAGAAAAGAAGCCTTCTAGGAGAAAGCAAGCCAGATCCACAACAATTTTGGACTGAAATCAGAGGGCCAACCACCTCTTTTCATGAGCTTTCACCAGAACCAAGCATTATCAGACATTTGGGAATACCATATGTGAGCACCATGAGCACTCAAAACAAAGCTTTTAAATTTAAACTCATCACTTTTGTTAAAAAATAAAAAGTAAACGAAACAAAGAAACAAAACCGTAACCACCCCGTAAGCAACTTCCTGCTGAAATAGGAATGCTTTTTTGGTTCTGGGAAAAGTCATCTGCTTAAAGACATACAAGAATGGAGACTGCTCACTGCCTTTACAGTGCCTCTTTTGGGGAGTGCTGGTCAGTACTACTCTAAGTCTTGCAGTTTGTTTTTTTTTTTTTTCCCATACATGAGAAGTACAGCTGCAGCATTATGAAATATAACAAAGTTCTCCTGGATGGAAAGCCTCCATTTTCAGCATTTTAGCAGGTAACAACGTCTATTTAAGTACCAATCTTCAAGCTTATGAGCTACCATAGATATTTTTAACTTCAACATGTCTCTGGCTTGCTGTTTTCAGAGAGTATGATACAGCTAAGTACACTGCACAGCACTCCTACCATACAAACAGGTGCTGCAGTCTTTAAGACAGGCATTTACTTGTGTTTTGTGAAAGGACCTTTGTGAAAGGACACGGTAGGGAACAGGATTTAGCAGTGACTGCAGTCACACAGTTCAGCATATTTGAATATCAGTTTCTCATACCCAGCCCTTTATTTTTCAGGCCTTTGTCAGTTGTATGTCTTTCATTACAAGTATTGCAGCATGCTTCTGAAAGAAGCATACCCCAGAAACTTCAACAAACCACCTTAGTGGTTCTTTCCACATTCCCTACATGCAGAGCGTGAATAGGTTTCACTCATTTGTCTCAGTACAGTTTTTCAAGACACTGTGGTGCTCTCCTGCCATCAATACTCAAGATCTTTTACCTAATACATTTCAGAACAGTTACTGGTTTGGTCACTAAGCCTCTTCCACTTTTACAGACTAGGTGTAACCCCAATTATCTGAGCAATAACCAAAAAAGTCACCTCTGCTACAGACTGAAGACTGCGGGCAAACTTGAGCTGGTTGACACCGTGATGCACAGGCTTCCCATAGGTTGCACCTTTTGGGACAGGGCGCTTACGACCACCACGACGAACACGGACACGGTAGATAACATAACCTGGAAGAAAAGGCCATTTAGTGTAGCAAGCACACGTTATGGTAAGGCAATTCACATGCTCATACTGCATTTCCAACCCCAAAAGCTTTGCATGAAATGTTGCAATAAAGCAGGTCTTCACACTCATCTGCACTGACTCGTACAACTCTTAAGTCGCTAGCACAGAGCATTTTTGTTACCTCCTTTATAACTGAATAGAGTGATGTACAGTTGTCAGGACTTTTTTAGTTCCAAACCAGAGTTCACAGCACTTTTCCATTATGCATTTTCATATAAACTAAGAACACCAATGCCACAACACAAAAAATCCAGCCCCAGAAGGCAATAAAATAACCCCAAAACCGAAGGGCCACATAGTAAAAGCACCATTCAAGAAGTACTGAAGTACAAGATACCAACAAACTCTACTGAAACATTAAGAAATGAAGCAAACCTCACAAATAGGAATAGAAGCTTATACTCTTTACTTTTAGATCATAACTGAAAACAAACATGGTGACTAGCTTCAAGGATTTGCTCCTTACAGACAGAAGTCCACTTTCCCTCAGTTAATTTGTTTCTCTGATCAGTAACTGTTTCTTACTGATCATAGAAATTAAGTAACTTTATCCCCACTCAAGCACAGACAGATATCAAGTAACTAGTGAAAGAGTCTGGCCTGAGGAAGAAACCTCCTTGCTCCAAACCTACCCTTCTAAAAACACTGGTCAGTGCTGCCATAAGGCAGCACAAGGAGAATTACAGCCTGAATCCACTTGATCTTCATCTGCCTAATTGGTCGCAGGGACATTAACTCAAATTACACGAAATATAGTTTTGTGCTGTGGGCACTGCTACTAACTGAACATACTTATAAATTTATTTAATACAGGACATCAGTCTTTTCCAGGACATCCAAGCTTTTCACTTCGTCATTCTATTATCAGTTATAGAACGAAGCAAGTTGACAAAACCATGGTCACTACATCACCAGGCACTCTTCATCTCCTTGTCCTATTACCTTGCTTGGCCTTATATCCCAGCCTGCGAGCTTTGTCTGGCCTCGTTGGCCGGGGAGCGCGATGCAAAGCAGACAGCTGGCGGTACTGCCAGCAGCGCACACGAAGGAGGAAACGCATCACATCTGACTGCTTTTTCCTCCATAGCTCCTGGATGTACTTGTAGGCACCCATGTTTGGTTACCTGCTGAGACAAGAGATCGGTGAAGGTAGCAAATCTGGCTCCAGAACTGCACAGCTTCCAATAAAAAGATACTGCACTAAACCGCACATACAGCATCAGTGGTACGCATTATGCTTTCATGCTCTTTTGAATCATTAGTGCACTTGGTAACATGTCTCAGCAGCCTACAATGAGACACACAGCAGTTACCATTGTCAGCAATTTCCATCCATTTCAAAGAATGCTTTGGGTTGGAAGGCACCCTAAAGCCCACCCAGTTCTAACCTCACTGCCATGGGCAAGGCTGGCACAGGCAGGACTGCCACCCAGCAGATCAGGCTGCAGAGAGCTCCATGCAACATGGCTTTAAATGCCTCAAGGGATGGGGCTTCCACAGCTTCTCCAGACAGCTGTGCCAGGGCCTCACCACTCTGACTGCAAAACTTCCTATTTCATTTTTTTAATGTTAGTGAAGAATGTATAAATCGTTCTCTAGCACTCCTCATCCAAGAAGCTACTGCTTCATGAATTGCAAACATTATTAAAATGGAGAGAGAGCACCTGACTCGCTTTAAATGTTGCTCTTTAAAGAGGTATGTGACTGTGAGTGGCCTAGTTTTTACTATAAAGATGATTCAAGTATCTCTAGGACCTGCTTAGCTCTCACACACCTAGAGTGCTCAGACTCCAGCAGCTGTAAGTCAACACCATCAAGCCACCACTCAAATCACAATTAAAAACAATCAAACAAAAGGTTCCTCGTGTGAAAAGCACCCCACGCTCTTCTCCGTGAATCGGCCCAGCCGCAGCCGACCTCCCGCCGCCCCATTTCAGGTCTGCATTGCGGCACGACCCACCGCAAAGCTGCACGCCAGGCGCCTAACCCAGGCACGCGGCCCCCGCTCTCGCAGCCCCCTCCCGCCCGGCTGCTCCCGGCCCGCAGCCCGCGATCAAGCCGCACGGCGAAGCGCGGCCCACAGGCCCCGCACCATCCTGCCGCGCTCTGCCGCTCGCCCGCCCGCCGAAGCGGCCGCATCCCGCCCCGCCAGGGCCGCACTGCGCAGGGCCGGCAGCGAGGCGGGCGGGCGGCCGGCAGAGAACGGGGATGGGAGCGGATGGAGGACTAGCCGAGCACGGACGTACCCAGACCGATGGCGCCCAACGCCGAAAAGGAAGAGGCCCACCTCCCACACCCCCTTGCGGCGGCGCCACACTTCCGGGGACGGCCCCGGCGCCTCATGGGTAATGTAGTCCTGTGGGGGGAGCTCAGCCGCTCTCCTCCGCCACCGCCGGCCCCGCCCCGCCGCGACCCCGCGCCAGCCAATGAGCGACAGGGGGCGTGTCCCGGGGCGGCTCAATGGGCGGCGTGGGACGCTGAGCCCAGGTGCGCGATGGCGCGGGAGCGGGGGGCGGTCGGGGCCGGGGGCGCGCGCGGCGGGCATGGCTTGGGGCGGGGGGTCGGGGCACGGGCAGCGCCTGGAGCGCCTCCGTGAGAGCCCCAAGCCCGCCAGCTCGGGCCGTAGAAAAGCGCTTAAAAATAAGTCCTAAATAGAAGGCGTGAGGGTTCCTAAAAATAAAAATGACAGATCCTAAAATGAAATAAAACGTCCTAAGGGAAAACCTTGTCGGCGCCTCAGTCCCTGTCCCGAGCCGCTGGCAGCCTTCCTCTGCGCGTCTGCACCGAGCCTGCTGCGCGGCAGCGCTGTGCCTCGTGCTGCGGGCTCTGCTGACCCCGTCCCGGGGCGGCAGCGCTCCTGGGCGGACTCGGGGCTCGCTGAGGAGCAGAGCGAGAGCTAGGCCTCGCCTGGCCGCAGCCAGCCCCTCGCCACCGTAAGTGTGTGCCCAGCTGCGCCCGTCAATTCCCAGTGTCACACTGATGTCACTGGCCCGGCAAAAGCCCGCCGGATTCTGCAGGCTGCCCGCTGGGACCAGCCCCGCGCACAGCCTCGCACAGACCCCAAAGCCTCAGCGCTGCCCTGTGCCTCTGACCGCAGTGCCTCGCAGTTCTGTCTGTGCAGGCCAGAAGTGCCGCGTGTGTCCCACACGTGTCCCTGCCGCCGCCGGCCCCGTCACACGGCTGCATTGGGACAGCGCTCGCCGCCCGCCGGCCTGGGGACGATGGGGAAGGGCTACAAGGTGGTGGTCTGCGGAATGGCGTCTGTGGGGAAAACCGCGATTTTGGAGAAGCTTCTCTATGGAAAGCACACTGTCGGTGAGGTGGTTTTGTCTTTTGTGTGTGCGTGTGCGGATCGTTTCCTTGGGCTGAACGTTGTGTGTGGACCCAAAAGTGGTGACCCAGGGACATTCACTGAGCTGAGGGAGGACGAGAGCGTGGCCTTGGCTCATCTCAAGGCCTTCTCTGGGACTCGTAGGCCCCTAAAATCTAGAAGCGGTTGGGAAAAGCCCTTCTGTGGTGTTCCCGGTTCCAAACTACAGGAGTACTTAAAAAGAAACAGACACAAAAGCAGATGCTTTGCTCACTGCCCATTTACATGAGGAGTATGCAAACAAGAAATATGTTATTTCCCAAAAGATCAGAATCATAGAACCACAGAATGGCTCAGGCTGGAAGGCACCTTATAGCCCACACAGTTCCAACCCCATGCTGTGGGGCTGTCACCCATCAGCTCAGGCTGCCCAGGGCCCCATCCAACCTGGCCTTGGGCTTCTCCAGGGATGGGACATCCACAGCTTCTCAGGGCAACCTGTACCAGTGCCTCAGATGCTTTTGGTGCCTGAAAGGTAAATAGATATGATATTATAAATAGAGAGACTGCTTAGACCTCTGTCATGCCTTCTTAGAACTTCCTTGTTTTGGTTTTGGCTCATGGTTAGTCAGAGTACTGGAAAGGAAAGCAGCTCTGCTTTAGGTCCCTCTCTGGGTTCCGAGGGCTGTGTAGGGGGAGCACGGAACCACCCCCTCCAGCTATCAGATGAAGGGCAGCAAATGGTGTCTGCAGAGGGGGGATCTCCGGGCTTTGACAGAGGGCATCCAGTGTCTATTCTCTAAGCTGGTAAATTCAATGCTGGGGTGAGCTGTTGGATAAATATTAGGATTTCTAGCTGTCTACTTGGCAGGCACCGTGCCTCTAAAATGCCTCAATGGGAGGAATTTGCTTGCAAATCATGATGCTGAGCTGTACACTAATACCCTTGTTTCAAAGGAGGATTTCCCCTAATGTTGCAGCAACACCTGCTTGCAGCATCCGACCAGCATCCCACACAGCTCCCTGTAGCTCTCAGCATGAGCTCCAATGCCTGCAGGCTGTGAATTTTTCCTTGGTCTGCCCCTCACCTGCCCTGCCAGGTGACCCTCAGTGCTGCGCTATCCCTGCTGCCCTCCGCTGCTCCATGTGCTGAGCCCCAGGAGCTATTTCTGGCTGCTCCTGAGAGTGGCTGCGGTGGCATTGCGTAATGGCAGGATGCTCACTGACATAATGGGGAAGGCCGCGTGCGTGTCCCCGATCACTCCCTGATGCTCTGCCTGTCTTAGCACCGAGCGGCACAGACCTTCACCTCCTCTCCCAGGAGCTTTGCTTTCTTTCTGTCATCGCTTTCCAGGGCTAATAGTGAGCCACGAGCCTGTCAGTGCTAGCGAGCCTGCTGCCGGTTTGCCTTCACAAAGGAGTGGTGGCACAGCTGCTGCAGGAAGTGATTAGTGTCCTCCGAGGTTTCACGCTGCTATACTGAGCCTTGGCTTTGAGCCCGTGCTCCTGGCTGTGAGTTGAGAATGCTGCTGAAAGCCCAGCAGCACTGCGGGGTTTTTCCTAGGAAAATTTGCTCTTTTGGCTTGCTCCCTGGCTTATAATGGATGAAGTCCCTACATGGTCAGCAGCTAGCACTCCTGCAAATGACATAAAACTGTTAGTGACTGTCCAGAGGAGGGCTGCAGAGACGGGAAAGGGTCAGGAAGACAAGATGTTTGAGGAGTGGCTGAGCTTCCTGGGTTTGCTCAGCCCAGAGCAGAGGAGCTGAGGGGAGGCCTCATGGCAGCTGCAGCTCCTCAGAGGGAGCGGAGGGCAGCGCTGAGCTCTGCTCTGTGTGACAGCAAAAGGGCCTGAGGGAACAGCATTGAGCTGTGTCAGGGGAGGGGCAGGTTGCATATCAGGAAAAGGATGAGGCGAGTCCTTTGTTGGCAAAGGAAGCTGGTCCCACCTAACATCAGTGGTACCCGGCACTGTGTGCCCAAGGGAAGTTACTGGCACAGCTCTGGCACACAGTGTGTCTGCAAAGAAGGAAGGTGCTTTTCCTTCAGCAGCGCCTCTGCTCAGTGAGGGCTTAGAAAGTAGTGTCCTGCCTTGGGAATGCCTCTGGTACCTCAACCTGTGGTGAAGCTGATCAGCTAAAGGGAAGGAGATGAGAACTCTTCCAATAGAGAACACTGTTTTCCTTATCTCTGCCTCCTGACTACACAAATAGCTGTATGGCCAGGTTGCTCATGGCCAGCTGCTTCAAGTCATCTAGCTAGGAATGAAAACTGTATGTATGAATGAAAACTGGTTAGAACCCAGTCAGAGAGAATTTGCCTTGTCAGGTTTCAACTTGGGGGACCTGGGGTTTTGGCTGAAAGACTTTCACAGCTCAAAGGTGTGAACCAAATGAAGTATTCACAGACCTTTGTTTCTTAAATAAATAGAACTGGAGTCAGCTTTGGTTTTTAGAAATGCATGAAAATGAAGCCAAGCTTATGTAACAGAAGGTCACAGCCATGGCTCTGGTTGACAGGACCAGTACCTAACCAGCAGCTAAATCCAGACATGTCAGCTCCTGTCGGTCCAGCTCCAAAGAGCTGTCCAGCTCTTCTCTGAGTCGTGTATTTCTTCATCTTTAGCCTAGTTTCCAAAGAAACTGTGAAATTGATTGCTGTAATGCTAGTCCCCCTTTTCCCCCCTGGCTTCCAAACCTGAAAGCTGGTTCCATCTGTCCATTTATCTGCATCACAACAGTGGGTACTTCCAAATCTGTTTCTGTAGTTTAGGAAAACAGTGGCAGGAGAGAGAGCAAAGCCACCTGTGCTGTGGCAGCCTGTGGCAGCAGGGCCCGGCGGAGCTGCCTTCACCCTTGGCAGAGGGGCAGGACAGCGGGGGACACCTGTGAAGTCGGCAGCGTGGCGGGGGAGATGGTGGTGCCAGGCACCAGGCTTCCCTCATCGGTTCTGCTGCTCGTACGACAGCTTGCCCAGCACGTCTGAATGGAGGTCAGGAAAGAGTTGGGATGGGATGTGCTAACCAGAGAGCGGTGTCAGCAGGATTTGGCTAACGCACAGTCTGGGCTTTAGAAGTAAAGCCTAGAACAAAGTGACACGGTATGACTGAAAACTGTGTTTGTTGAGTAACCTACTTGCAGTGCTTCCTCCCCCTGCGTGTGCAGGTGAAATTTCACCTCTGGAAACTGATCCTGATGCACAAATTCCAGAACCTTCCAAAGTGTCCCATCCCCCACTCTGCCATTTAACATCAAAATTTGTTGCTCTGTTCTGCTGACTTGCCTCACAGATCTTAATTTTTCCTCTTCATTTTCAAGGAGGATGTTAAAAGATGTAATTTCCACTGCTACTTTTAATGCCATTAGGAAGAGACTGCCACAGGAGAATGCAGATATATTAAAGACTGCTGAATTACAGTGCAGCATTTAGGTGATAAAAACCTGCCCAACGTTATTCATGGCTTTCTAAAAAGAAAATGCAGGTACTTATGGTTCATTCCTTCTTGCCAAAACAATATTTACTGATGCTAGATTCTTCCTTGACCTGTCTGTACAATGAGATGAAGCAGAGCAAGAAAAAATAGTGCTATATCCAGAAGACCTACTTTCGTCTTCAAAAATGCCCTTGTAACACATTCTCCAGCTGCACAGAGTGTGTTCACCCTTTCTGTTTTTATTAACCTTTGTTTTGTTCTGCTCTTACTTGTGCTCTTGCATGCTAGCATGGCTATATTTGGAGGCAAAATAAAATAATTGGTTGCAAACCTAATAAGAGTTTTGATCTATGCAGGCTGCACAAAGAGGGGCAGAGAGAACAGCTTGTGCCACTTTCCTGCTCAGGAATGCTGCATATATCATGAGAAACCATGCGCGTGGGTGGAATTCTTTAGCTTGTTTGTCAATGCAAAGTATTTTGAATACTGTCACTGAATATAGCAAAATCCTTATTTTCACAGCCAGATAATCCCTCATGTTTTCTTAAACAATGCACTAACATGGTCCCCTTTTGGCAGACAAAGGGAACAATGCAGTGCTCATTACTGTAGCCCTGCACCAGCGAACAGTCCCTGTGTATAGGAATGCAGTGGAGGCAAAAACATGCAGAGGGTTTATGAGAATTCTTCAAACTAACCCTGAAAGTAACCCAGCTGCATTATGCAGTTTGTCGGGACCTGCAGCCATATGGACCTGCATCCAGGGTGATCGTAAAGCTAAGGAGATCCATGTGCTTTCAGGGTCTGCCTTGGAAAGTAAGGTTTTAATTAATTCAGAGTAAGGTACCTCATATTACCTCCCATTTACCATGGGAAGGGGAAGGAAGGAGAGCTAGTATGCAGATAGTTACCATGGAGCAAGTGATATATATGGGAGCTTGATACCTTGTGCATGCTCTTAACCTGCAGTAAATGAGCTCGCTCCTATTAGCAAATCTGAGTCATGTTAAATCCCTAAGGGATGGAAAAAGCTCACTGTGTGTTTGGGTAAATATAGCATGCAACTTTGCTTGCATACAGACATCCTCTCCCCTGTCGGGCTTGGTTTCACTTGTTGGTTAGTTGTACCAAGGCATGTTCATTTCCAGAACTGCTCCTTTGGCTCCTGCTTCTGCAGTACAATCCAGCCCAGCACGAAGCTGAGGAGCAGGCTCAAGATGTCAGTACTTGCCTCTCTGGTGTTCCTTGGCTGTTCTTCCCTGAGGGTATGTTTGGGCAGGCCCATTTGCAGCGTGTTTGGCAGAGAGCTGGTACACTGGGTGGTTGGAGTTTGGGAAACCTGGGGGAAGAGCCATATATCTTATCACGTCCTGTGCTTACATGTTGTATAGATTAATTTTACGGGCTCGTATATTAGATGGTTGTATTTACATAGTGTCACTCCTGTAAAGAGCTGGCATGGTGATCTATGGATACAACCCTTGCATGACAATTGAGGTCGAATGCAGGTCAAGTCACCCTGGAAAAATATGAGCTGAAAGCTATTGCAGGGTAAAGTTCTGCCGCACCACAAGCATTTATTATAGTGGTGCTGTACTTACACCAGCTGACCCTTCCTGCTTGTTTTAAAACAGGTTTAGAAGAGGGTGCCACAATGGAAGACGTGTACTTGGCATCGGTGGAGACGGACCGAGGTGTGAAGGAGCAGCTGCGGCTGTATGACACCAGGGGTCTGCAGGAGGGCATAGAGCTGCCGAAGCACTACTTCTCTGTTGCTGATGGCTTCATTCTCGTGTATGCCATCACCAGCCTCGAAGCCTTCCAGAGAGTTGAGCAGCTCAAAAAAGAGATCGATATCTTCAGAGACAAAAAGGAGGTAAATGCGTGGTGCCCTAGTTGCTTGGCTTATTGGCATATCAGTGATAGGAAGTTAATGTTACAAAGCATAAAAAACTGTCAGACTTGCATAGAGAGGAAAACAAGCATACCCACAGCCTTGGGCAATCCAGACAAAGGGAGCTTTCTCATGATGGGGAAGCCTCATTCACATGCTCTGCAGCTCAAACAAGTTAAGTGTTGTTTTTGTTTTTTTTTTTTTCTTACTTCCTCTACCACAGCTAAAATCCAGTTAGCTGGATGCATCAGTTTGGACACTTATGAGTAATAAACCATATGGTCTACAGCAGTGCAGTTCTTATTTTTTTTTTCTTAGGTATTGTACACGGGAAGTCAAGTGCACAGAATAATGTAATGAAGAACATTATTTTTGTTTGTTTTGTATTCACGTACTCGATGGCTTACAAACTAGTGTAATTGACAGTGGGTCTCCCAGACATTAGTCAATTGGCAAAGCAGCTTTAATGTATCTTAACAACCATATTGAATCAATTCAATTGTGTGAAATGACTGCTCTATTTTCCCTTAGAAAGCAGCTAGCATTTTCAGCTGACAGTGTTCCAGCTTAGCTAAACAAATATAACTTACATGTGGCATTAACATTATGGCTTTTCTTACAGTATCTTTGTGTTCTCCAGTAGCTTTCCCTGCTAAACGTCTTTAGCCTACAGCTCTCCAAATGTCCATTTTATGCTGTTTAGAAAAAGCAAAAAGTACATGAAGAATTAATTGGGTAATGGTAGGAAGAGACTTTCCAAAGAGTAACTTGGTCAGTACTTGCAGAAGTACTGCAGGAAGGCAGGCTCAAAGCTTGATGGCAGTCAAAAATGGAGACAGAGAGATATGTTGGCTGGTGGGGCTGGTGTGAGCTGCATGCTGTCAGGGTACGGATGTCAAGAGTATGGCAGCTGGCCACAGCTACCCTGCAGGACCAGGGGAGATGACAAGCAGGACATTCACCCAGACACTGTGTTTCTTGAGGGTGACACAATTGAAAAATAGTGGTGCCCACAGCAGGTTGGATAAGATAGTTTTATTCCTCTGATTTCTATTGCGTACAAAATACTCTCTGAAGGTGAGATCAAGAGTCCTTAAAAAAGTATCAGCAGCCTTAAAGTCTCTGCAGCCATAACCAGATTCAGGATTCATCTCCATCTGCGGTGCCTCTGAGCTGGCAAGCCTTTGCCCCGCCAAGCAGCACAGCCCTGTACCACACAGCCAGGGCTGTAAAGCACAGGTGGCAGCCTCCTGCCTCCCCTCAGCATGCTCCTTAAAGCATGGCCTATTTTTGTACTGAATGGAGATTGTCTTCTCTCATACTGGCAGAGTTTGACCATAGGCAAAATTCAGTTGGTAAAAGTACTGGAAAATGATGGCTTCTTACAAAGGGGTGAACGCCTACTCAAACAGCATGGGCTGCTGTAGAAAGGAAAGGGAGCCTCAGAGCTCACAGGAACAGGACAAACATCTCTAGCTGGAGAGAAACAGGAGACATTCTAGGGGCAGCCTGATGAGCAGGAAAGGGCTAGTGGGTGTGGACATGGCCAAAAGCCCAGTCATGGGGAGAGGACTTCATTATTTTAGGTTTCTCAAACCACCATGGAGTGCAGAGATGAGACCAGAGTTCAAGTAAGGATCTTGCACTATAAATACAGGCATGATTTCCCCCATTGACTGATGCTGTTAAAACATTTTTAGAAAGTGGTCAAGTTAAACCAAGCAGGACTGGTAGCTTTAAGGGACTACATTCAGTGCTGGCTGAAGGAGAGGCAGCAGGCAGCCCCGAGGGCTGTCAACACCTGCTGCCTGGGGCTGGGACACAAACAGGCTGGGCAAAACCCTTGTATCCACATCTTCCCTGCTGCCATAAACCATTTTCATTTCTCAAGCACCTGACTGACTCAGATGCCACACTCAAGTTACTTCTCTAGGGCAGCTCAATTGCAAAGTAAATGGAGAATAGGACTGTTTAACTTCTGCTTTTTTGGGTATGGCTTCCCTTTAAACAGCCTGTGGGCTAAGTCTTGCATATCTTATGATTAAAGCAGCTCGCTCCCAGGCCGCAACTAGGCAAGGCAGGTTTGAACCCCAGACCCTACTCTTCCAAATCATATGCAGCTTGCCTTGTGCCAGTGCTAAGTTAAAGAACAGGCCTGAATTGTGTTACAGCATGTCTGCTGTTTGTTTAAAGAGCACAGTGGATGCTCTTTGCACAAAGCTCACCCGTTCGTTTCATTTGTAGGTAACAGTTATCGTCTTGGGAAATAAAATGGACCTCCTGGAGCAAAGACAAGTGGAAACAGAAGCAGCGCAACAATGGGCAAGGGCTGAGAAAGTGAGACTGTGGGAAGTGACTGTGACAGATCGGAAAACACTGCTTGAGCCATTCACCTTCCTAGCAAGCAAACTCTCCCAGTCCCAGAACAAATCAACATTTCCCTTGCCTGGAAGGAAGAGCAAAGGGAATAACTGCGATAACTAAGCTCCCTTTAATGCTGTCTGCTGTAGCCAGGTGCAGCCTAAATCCTTTCTATGCCTTTCGCTTCACGCGGTTTCACTTAAAGCAATAATCTCATTCAGCAATAAATCAGCAGGCTTATGGCTAAGAGGTATTCTTCCTTCTCGTGGACTTGGCTTGAAAAAGTCACTGGTGGTGAAACCTTAAAAAGCACTTAATGTTGGGAGTTACCTTGCAATAAGGCTGAAGAGGGGAGAAGAGGGTGGGAAAGAGACATGGGCTTACCTCTTCTGTAGGGGCTTAGACTGTCCCTGGGTACAACCATAGAGGGAAGCAATCATTCAGATCTATGGCACTTGTTCACACACAGAACTACCTGTAGTGAAGCTGTAAATGTGGAGAGACGATATGTCTGAAACAGCAGCAGTCCTTTGACCTTAAGCAGGGAGCCCCTTCGCCACAGGGTTTTGGATACTGCAGGGGGCTCAGGTCAGAGTGTTGTTGCAGGAGAAGTGTTGGGGCAGGAGTAAATACAAACAGATTTAGATGCCAGAGCTCTGTTAGTGTCTGAAAATAAGAAAAGAGGGAAACAATGTCTCGTGGGAGATCCTAGACCAGATTTACCCTAACATGAAGCTTGTCAGCAGAGTCTGGCAAGTAGTGCCTTCAGTTCAGGAATTTATTTGTACAAACCAGAAAAGCTCTCACAGCACTCATTAATTTAACTGTGACCTGATGGACAACATAGCAATATGAAGTTTTGTTCCAACATGTCCAGTGCAAATCAGTCACACTGACATAGGTGCTAATTTTATTCAGAAATGGTATGGAACAACTTGGTAAGCAGGAGGTACCTCACTAGGCTCTGCTCAGTGCCTTGTGAAATGTTCCTGCCCAGCTAGAGAGTGAAGCCACAGCAACCTACAGCCTGAACAAGGCTGCAGGCTGGAGTACAGCCAGTACAAAGTGCTGCACTGCTTGGTGAGAGGGGCTGGCTGAAGGTTGCTGCCTGTTGGGAACAACCTCACAGCAAATGCACAGAAATCCCTGTACAAATGGCCTTGGTGTACATCATCCAGCAGCAGGAGCACAGCTTTATGTGCTGGATTTGACACTGCATTGGTAAACCTGTTCCAGGTCAGCCTGTTAGCAAACCAAATAAAACTGACTATAAAGGGACAATAAGTGACTGTTCCCAAAGTGAGGAGCCAGCTTTTGGCCTCTAACAACCTTAATACACTGATAACAGCTTTTCTTCGTATTTGAAGGCAGGAGCGGGGAAAGAGAGCAAACTGAAGTATCCAGTTCCTTAATTTACCATGAGGTTAATGTTGCTTTGAACAAATATTGAGAATTTCATTGTGAGTCAGCAAAACCATGAGCAATATTTGCACTGTCATATTATAACTGCTAAATAGTGTGCTTAATGATCACAATTAGGCTGTGTGCTTACAGCACTGCTCTTCCTGAATCCTGGCAAATAAACTCTGTCAGCATTACTAATGCCAGAGCAACAGTACACTGAAAATTAAGCAAGTATTCCTACCTTCAAAATGAAGCTAGACGAAACTGTTTATGTGCTTTGCTCAATACAGTTTGGATTGCTGTGGCCACCAAGTCAGATAAGAGAGCAATTACGAATGAGCAAGCCCCTGTAATGCCCTGCTAGAAACATACAATTGCCTCCATTGCAACACTGCAGCTGAGTAAGCACTACAGCACGACCTCCCCCAGCCTGGCCAGTAATAGTCATCGTCCCCAGCGATGCTGCAGAACAACACTCCCTCCTCACTCATTTCCTACAATACACGTGTACTCGTGCTTCTCCCCACCCAGAAGACTGCACGCACAGAATCTACCTGTGTACTTGGGAAGTGGGGCGGCTTCAGAGCAGCAGTGGTTCACCTTTTTGCTGCAGATTTTCATTGAGGAATTGGCTACTTTTCTCCTCTTTGCAGAACCTTTCACCAGAGCAGGATTTGATTCAGCTATGTATCAGTCAAAATACAGAACACCTCTGCTAACTACATATTATCACCAAGGCTGATCCCTGAGCCAAGGGAGTGTGGGCCAACAAGTGAAACCAGTCAGAATTAGCTTAAATTGTGGAGATGGAAGGAATGGAGATGACCAGTTCTTGACCAGTTCTGCTGGGACAGACGTCACCTGTGGTCTGCAGGGGCTGGGTCACACAAGGCTGGCTTGCTCACTCACCCCTAGACACTCAGGACTCAGCAATGCTTTAAGAATAGCAGAGGAAAAGGGATCTTTTAAGTGATTAACATTATGTTTCCAAACAGGTTACGTAAAGTCTAACATGTTATCTTTGATTTAGTTAAACTCATTTCCAGATCATTTTGGGCATCCGCATAAACAACCACCACCCATTGTTTTATTTAATACGCTTACCCTGATGCTTTCTAAGCACTCAACTGCCTTTTCTAAATAGCACAGTATTTTATTGGCCAGCAATAGAAATGGTAGTTTCTCCTCTGCAAACAATCTGCACTCAGTGGCTGGTGAAACTCACTGTAGTGCAGTTTTACCCTTGGTTAATAAGTACAGTACATCCATGCAGGGTATAAAGTAGTAGTGCCAGGGCAGGAAATGTATTTTGCCCTTTGTTGTTTCACTGATTCAAAGTTGCCCTAGATCACAAGGATCATGTATGTACTACTAGACAGTCCCTTCACAAAATGATAAACAATTAAAAAAAAAAAAAGAAAAAGAAATAGGCAAATTGAAGCTCCTTTCTTCATTTGTTACATTGCTATCCACCCTAATTTACCTTCCCCTCCACTGCCAACTGCAAGAATTAATTTGGAATGTACTGGTAGCACAAAGCAAGGAACAGACAAAAACCCACAGAAGTCACATACATCCTCACACAGTGTAGGGAAGTAATGAATGAATTTAAGGGTCCCTTACCAGCGGTGCTCCTGGTGTGATGTAGCTATATACCAGTGATTTTTCTAGGCTGAACTGACAACTGTGGGAACCCACACACCAGGACACATGTTCTGTTGAAAGAAGACAGTTTAACAGATGAGGCTAACATCTTCTAGTACCCACAACTACCCAACAAAGGAGAGGCGCCTGTACATAAACTCCTTGGGACCAAATTAGATTTGATCTTTAAATAGATAGGAAGCATATAAAACAAATGTACGTGGAATGTAAAGTACAAACATAAATCTGTGAGAACAGATGAACACATCACACTCAGAAGAATGTTGCAACGTGATGCACTTGTCATGTGAAAAAGAATCTGTGCTTCCGGCCTTTACCTTGAGGGAGTGGTCAAAAATGCCACGTTCATACCTACCTACCCCGTTGCCACACTCTTCAGTGTACACACTATATCTCTGGGAGATAATCTTTCGAGCTAGTTAAAGGATCTACAAGCTAAGCCTCCTTTATGGTGTCTTCGTCTGGCTTCCCAGGACACTACTCCTTCTCCTCTTTCACGTGGAAATTGATGACTCCATCAGAAAGCCACGAGAACATTCTCTTCTTCCTCTTTTCTTCTGCCCCTTTCCCTTCCTACTGTACTTTTGCTCTTCCTATTGTACTTCCGTATAATGCAACAGTCCTGAAAAGACAATGCTGTGAAAACTTGAAGCTGAAGACTAACCAGGGACTATAGGAGCCTGTGTAACACCTACACAATGAATGTGTTGTCATTCACCGTACGCTTGTGTAGAAGCATCTTCCCAAAACAGAAGCAGATGGTGCACTCACCTGCAGAGCTCACTTGTCTTTATACAGAATGCAATTTTTGAAGTGCACTGGGAGACACTGTTCTGGCAAAGTGATAAAGCAAGGCACTAACACTAAGCAGAAGTCTCTTCTTTTTTTTTTTTTCTTCTTTTTTTTTTTTTTTTAAACATCTTTTTATTAGCACAGTAACAAATGCAGACTTAAGTAGCCCACAACATACAACCAATCCACTGAGTGACTCCTATTCCACGCCTTACAATTAAACAGCTTAAGGTATTTCACTACAAGTTGTCATTAGTCCTGATTAAAACTTTTATTCTTCTCACAAAGATAGATTGGCTTATAAAATAATACATTAGCTACTTCTCATTTCATATACGAGGCCATATATCCCCCTCTCCATATCACAGACCATGAGATGACAGTCTTTAAAAAGCATTTGTTAAATACCAATGCGCCCTCTATAGGGGAAAACAATCCCAACATCTTTTTTACAAAAAAAAACCAAAAACAAAAAACAAAGCAAAACAAAACAAATGAACAAACCAAACCCTCCCAAACCAAAAACAAAACAAAAAGCAAAAAACAGTGTGTAGAGTCTTGAAAGGACTTTCACATAAACGCCAACATATGTACCTGTACAAAATTAAGCTGTTTCATCTTTTACATAATGCGAGCAAACTGAAAACCAAAGAAACCTAAGTTTACATTCTTCTCGGTACTATATGTGAGCTAATATTGCCGAACTAATTACAGTCTTAAAATATGCTATTCCCAATTCTAGCTGTCTACTGTAGCAAGATACCTTAAGTTACAACAACAAAATCTTAGGAAATAAAAGACTGAATAAAATCTGTTATAGAAATACCCTACTCTTTACCAGCACCCTCCCTCCCCCCCACCCCTTCAAAATCATAAGCAGCTCTTTCCATCACAGACAAATAATGTAAATCTGACAGAAATCCAATTTATGTAGCATATCTTTTGGTCCATTGTCTGGCCATTCTGTCATGCTCTGCTCTGTTAGTCATATACTGAGTAGCAATGCTTCCAACCAGGGGGTCAGCTGAAAAGGAAAGAAAAGAAAGGCTTATTTCAGAAGAGTGTGAATTTAACACAAGGGAATAAAGACAAATACATCACAACAATAAAAATACACTGAATTAATGGACTGTAACTTCATCAATTTGTGTTTATTTATGGTAACGTATAGATCTATTGCTTGATGAAGTGGGAAATGCTGATAGAAGTTTTAAGGAGTTTAAGAGACAACAGTCCAGTGGTTACCCAACAGTCATATTTTGCATTCCTGAAAACTTTCACTGATTCATATGTTTATTTTACCTTTTCTAAAAGTGCCTGAGACATATTCATTGCTAAGTGTACTTGTATTGACATAAATCTGGCTTGTAGGAAAGATCAGATTGCAGGGAGAGGTTTTATTTTTACAAAACTACTATTTTATTATACATAATGCAGCACGAACTCCAGTGCTTCTCATCTTTTATAGACTTACATAGGATTATGACCTCTGAAATTGACTTTGTAAACAAAGGCAGATTTCCCTTAACTCATGTCGATAAGGGATGAGGTTAGGGAAGCAGAGGATTACTTTTGGCATAGCTGGTCAGTGGTTTTAAATAGATGGTGGAATGGAAAAGGCTAATCCAGTGATTTTTGCAGCTGCTTTTGTGTTTTTCATAGCTGTTACCAAATTACCGCAGTTCTACAGAGCAGCAGAGCGTGTTTAACCCTCATCCAAAACGAGAGCAGGGTTAGGAAGGGAAGGAGCTGTCCCCTGCAGGAGGAGAAGCACAGCTTTCCCGGCAGCTCTGCCTGCGGCACAGGTGAGTGCAGCAGCCGGGGGTGGGTGCAGGGCTGCCACCTCCTCCAGCCCCTCTCCCCGAGATGGTGGGACGAGCCGGGGCCGGGTGTGAGGCAGCGGGAGGCTGGGCAGGGCGCTTACCCGGGTTGCAGTCTGTGAGGAGGGAGCAGATGGACAGGAGAACTTTAGAAATGGTTAATGCCGGACTCCAGTTGTCTTTTAAAATGTCCAGGCAGATGACGCCTTGGCTGTTAATGTTACAGTGATAGATCCTTGTCCGGAACGTTACCTGCAAGAAATGACTATTAGATGGTGCGCCGGCATCACACGGCAGCACACGTGACGCGGTAATAAAGATAACAGCCGTATTTCTGATTTGACAGGCAGTAAAAGACCGAATTAAACCCGGCAACAGACGCAGAGGAGCCCACGCCGGCAGAGCCCGCTGCCCGCCGGCCCTCGGTGCGGGGGCTGCGCCGGGCCCTGCCTCAGCCGAGCGCGCTGCCCGCGCCCTCTGGCGGCGCCCGGCGGGATGAGGCGGGCGGGAGCGGAGCCGGCTGACGGCCGGCAGCAGCAGAGGGCCTGTGCTTTAACACCGCACACCGACGCGTTTCTCCCCTCGGGCTCCCAGACACTTGTAAAAGCCTCCCGCTACGGCACGGTTTTGTGCAGCCGCGGCTCCGGCCGTTCAGAGACGCCAGTCGGATTTTATTATCGTTAAATTTAGGAGATGCAACTGAGCCGGGCAACGTGCCACGCGAGTTATCCGAAAGAGAAACAAAAGCACCACTGGTGCTGCCGGGGAACACAATGCAACCTGCAGCAAGGCCTCGCTGCGACGTGCTTCGTGAACAGGGACAATGAATTTGGTGGAACTTGCATGAATTGGGATTATCTGCATGAATAAAGGTTGTTGGGTTCATGCCCTAAATCCTCAGAATTTGTCAGCTCTCCACACCCACAGATTTTACTGTCTGTTTATAGGTCATGGGGGTATTTGCGAAACGCATTTGGTAAGCGTGCGGTACGGCAGAACACCACGCTGGTGCTTTCCCTGGAGGTTAACCCAGCCCACACATAAAACCTGCCAGTCAACCCTTGTGTTTTTTTTCCTGCAGTCTTTCTGATGCAAACATTTGGCTCATGATTTCCCTATCCCAGGCTCCAGGAGCAAGCGTGGGGTCACACAGCTGCAGACCCCTTGTGCTCCCCACTTTCCCTGTCCCACATCCGCCCCCATTTCTGATGCACGGAATGCTCCCACTGTTTTTGGTTTAGGGCTCACAACTGCAGCCACTGGTCACATGGTGGAGACCCAAGCTGCACACACAGGAAGACTTTCCGTTTTGTAGCTTGTAAGTTCCTTGGATTTTACATTAAAACAGGAAAAGAAAAAAGAAAAACAACCACGTACACACGCACACACACACAATCCTCCTAAATCCCCACACTTTTGCACATAAAGGTGAAAATAGCAAAATGTCTGGGGAAAAAGAAAAAAAAAAGCGTCTGTCTCCCATACCTTCTGCAACAAGCTGCAGCTCCAAAAACAAGAACCCCTGCAGCTGCCTATGGAGGGAGCCTCAAAGGTACAGCAGGTAAAAAACCAGAATGATGCTTGTTTCTGAGATCATCTAATCCTCCTTGAAAGAGCAGCTAGGACTCCTTAGAGTCATGTAGAAGTCTGTACACATCAGCCTGAGCAGAGGGCAGATGTGACTCTGAGATATCTGCCCTAACCCATACTGTTTCCTTTAAGAAAATCCTGAAGTTTGTGGCATCTGCAGTTGCTGGTAATGGTTCTGTCTTTGGTTCCCAAGAAGCCCTCAGACCAGCCCACTGATTGCTCACTATTTCTCTATTTGACATGCAGCTTTGGTCCTCTTCCAAGAATGCTTCTAAATGTAGGTGAGGTAATAATTTTAACAGATTAAACACTTCCAGAACGGAAAGCATGGAGTATTTCCAAGTTGATACAATAAGGACCAAATTAACAGGGAGGTCAAGCATTCTAATTTGTAAAGGCAGAAAGTAGTTAATCCCCATTCTGAGCTCAAAAGCTAAATACTGAAATTGCAGAAAGTAACTTAGACAGTACCTCAGTCCAGCTAACTAAAAACAGACATTAAAAAAGGACAAATCATATTTACTGCTAGGAATTAGACTTACTTTTTTATTAGTATTTGTAAAGAAGGAGAAAGAGAGGGGGGTGGGGTGGGGAAGAACTCCTGTATATTTGCAAAGCAGATTGCTTCCTTAAGGAACCATAATACAAAATCCTTAAGGGTTATATTCATGGCACCAAGATTGGTTTTCTCCAGTTTGAGAAGCTCTGCCTAACCAAAGAATGGGGAGAAAAATCTGAATTTGTTTTCACTTAAGCAGCAAGTCAGAACTTGGATGGTGTGAGACACATATAGTCCAGCTGTTTGCCATTTGCAATTTTTGCTGATTTATACAATATAAAAGCCAGCCATGCTGGGAATCCAAATGAAGCCAGAAGAGGGGGAGGAATTGCAGACCCACTTAAAAAGAAAACAAAAACAATGCTTAAAGTATAGTAAACATTTACTTTAAAGGGAAAAAAAAATAAAACAAATAAACAAACCCATAAATAAGTAGTAGATTCAGACCTGAATCAGAAGGTAGTAAAATGTACTCAGGGTCAAGAGAACAGCATGAGGAAGAACAGAAAAATACAGTGTAACAGAACAGTCCTTTGGAAATGTATCACCTGAGATTATATTAATGCAGTAACTACAGAGTTAAGCACAGGTTTTGGAAAGACATAAAGAAGTAAATCTCAACCCTACCCTGAAGTGATAGCAGAGGTTAATTTACACAAGCAGTAAAACAGGAGTGGAGGGAAGGAAGTGGTTAGAGGTTATTAATATAAACGATCAAAGCACACACCAGGTCAACTCAAGATACTGTTTTCACCTTGATAAATGAAGTTTAACTGAACTGTAATGCAACACTTGGGAAAATATGCATGGTAATAGTACAGAAGAACAGCAATTGTCATGAGAATTAAATACTGAACTTTTAAAATCTAATTATTTTTGTATTGGATTCTGAATCCAGGCCCACCCAGCTTGTACCCAACTCAATTGCTATCTGAAACATAAAGGTAAAACCAGAATACCACATAAAATGAGAAAACATAAAAGCGGATAACAGATTAATACCAATATCTTCAAAGTGTTCTGTGGAATGCTCAATAAATGCAAAATAACTCCATTATATATCACTAGGACAAAGGAGAGAGATTTCTCCCAGTGAAGTTCCTTCTGATATGCAATACATTTTCAAGTCAAACATTAAGACCTTTAATTCATCCAACCTCAGGTACAGTTCCTCTCTTTACCCTTCAAGGAATATGTTTATATCACTTCCATCACGGGCCCTCTGGCTTTCCTATAGCAGCATCCTCCCCCAGAAGTTTGCTCCATCAGATTCTCTAACATAGTGACTCAAAGCTTCAGCTGGAGCTACACTCAGTCCACAAAGGCTGCACCTGTATATCCTTCATCAAACACCTTGAGGATGCCTGTCAAGCATATGACATCTGCCAACACTGGCTATGCCTCAACATCTTCTCTCACTGGTGCTCCTCTGGGATTGGTAGCCTACCAGGATGACCAGTTTCTTCTCACCCTATTTAAGAAGGTATATCCTTTACTGAAAAGTAATTTTCAATTTAGGAAATGTGTTCTGCTACAGGCAGTTTTGTTATGGGCAGTAGGGACTGTTATCCTAAGAATTACAGAGGATTCAAAGAGACAGCAGAAGTTTTCCTCCACTTTTCTTTGTAGCCTTGCCAAGGAAGAAAGATTCAAGGGAAACTAATTCTTTCACTCCAGACAGCTTAATCTTTTCAGAGGTCAAGGCTTTCAAGATAGCCTTTGACCACTCTACTACTTTACTAGTGTTTTGTGATCAAAATGATGTACTGCATTTTGTTTCAACTACATGTTTCTTTTCTTCTCATCCTAAAAGACAAATATAGGAAGTCTACGGTAACCACTTTAGTCCTGCCACTTCTAAATGACTC